TCCCGTGGTCCCCGGGGACTGGCGGGGAAGCAGTGACTTGCTGCGGGTGGCGTCTCACAGCTAGGGAGGTGGCTAGAATTACAGTCATGGAAGCAGAAGGGACATGCAGAGCAGAAAAACACCTCCTCCTGAAACTCTTCCCTCAGCCCAGCTGAAAGGGGCCCTTGGGATGGTACCCGCCAAGGAAAAAGACTCCTTCACTACCTGGGACCCTCTAAGGTCTCTGAGGCAGGGCTGATAGCATGACCCCTGCAGGCCTGACTCCCCTGCTGTTTCTGGCCACTGGCAAATTCTCCCGGTGGGGCCCAGCCGCTCCAACTGGTACCTATTCCGACCTTCACCTCCTAGAGCCCTCGGGAGGCCGGGAGGGAATGACTGATGTAGGCGAAGTTCACAGATGCGTCTGGCCCAGCTGTGCAGACAGCCGTGGTTCCTGCGCCCGGCGGCAGGGCTGGCTCTGCTCACGACAGCCCTCAAGGTGTCCTTCTCCCTGCTGAGTGCGGTGGTGAGTGAAGCAGGAAAGACAGACAGCTCCGGTTCTCCAGGGCCGCTGTGTAAGCTGCTCCCCAGAACCTGACCAGATCCTGAGCGGGCCGGGTGAGAGATGCAGGTCAGGGAGTGATGTGAATGGATAAGCAGTTTACAGAGAGCTCCATGGGGCGGAGTGGGGGTGGGACCCAGTCCAGCAGCAGGAGAATCACGGATGTCTAACGATAGCACCTAGGGCAGCAGCCCAGGGGACCAAGAGGAGGGATGGTCTGAAACCAGAGCCCACGGACTGCCTGCAGGGTCCCGGGAAGCCTCCGGACCCCACCCAGTGGCCACAGGTCTTTCCCAGCTGCCTGTGGCTCCGCACAGCCCAGCAGTGTCCTCCTAATCGCCACCGCTGGGCCTGCGAGTCCCTCCCTGCTGCTTGCAGGCCACCAGAGTCTGGCAGGGGAGCCAGCCCATAAGCCGCAGGGCGCACATCACGGCTGAGCCTGGTGGGAGCTCTCAAATGCCTCCGACACAGTGCAAATACACTCTTGTGTCTTTTTGCCATCTGCTGCTGTCATTAAAAAATTACATTTCCATCTGTTTTCACACTTTTCTCCCCTCCCAGCCTCCCCTCCCGGAGGCATACAGCATGAATCCCACGTCGAGGACGCGAACGTTCCATCGCCTCTTGGAGCCTGGGAACATCACGGGGTTAGGGGTAATGGGCTTCATGGGCGACCAGAGCTGTTCATTCCTCCTAGGTCAACATTGACCGTGACCTCTGCCCTCCACACACCAACCCCTCCACACACACTGCGGGAAGCCACTTACAAAGCTTTTTTTTGTTGCTGGTTTTAATTAGTATGTGTGGCTTTAGCATTAAAAATAAATGGAAAATAATCTGCAAGCATTAGTAACCATTTCCTCTGGGAATGTATTTAAGGAAGAACAGACTCAAGAAATAAGAATCAGGGAGCCATGTCTTGGGCTCAGAAAAAAATTGTCATTCTAGACCAACTCCAACGATGTAACCCCTCTCCCTGACCAACATAGCATGCCTGACCTTTCATGAAGGGTCGAGTCCATGGAGAACCCAGCAACCCCCCCACAAGGTTGCGACCACAGACTTCGCCTGGTGAATCGCCTCAAACACAGCTTTGCAAACATCAGCATAATCGCTAACATTCTAGGTTCCGTATATATTGTCATCTGTTTCATCTTCCCAACAACCTGCTTACTAACTTCTTTTGAAGATGGAGGAAGCTGAGGCTCAGAGTAGATCAGTTAATTATTTTTTTTTAACTGTTGGCTGTGCCCCACACAGCATGTGGAACCTAGTTCCCCAAACAGGGATGGAACTCACTCCCATGCATTGGAAGGTGGAGTTGTAACCACTGGACCGCCAGGGAAGTCCAAAGCTGAGGCTCAGAGAAGCAAAGCAGCTCACTACAGGTCACCCATCTGACAAACGGAGCATGGGGATGGACGCGGCAGGCTGGGTGGCAGGCCCTCAGGAAGGCTTCAGGTGGAAGCAGTTTATTCACAAGGCCCTCCTGGGATGCTCCAGGAAGGCAGGAGATCTCCAGGGCCAGTTCTGGCTAAGGAGCAGATTTCTACTGCTGGTCGCTTGGGGCGCAGACCACCCCCACCCCACCCTGCTCCCCACCAACCTGGGGCTCCCAGGGAAGCCTGGCTCCTCACAGTACCAGCACTGCCCCCAGGAGCTGGTTAGAGATGCACAACAGCAGGCCCAGCCCAGACCTCCCCTAACGAAGGGCATCTGCCTTTGAGCCGGCTCCCTGCTGACAGCACCTTCATAAAGCACCAGGTCGTCTCAGAGTGCCCTCACCAGCACCAGGGGGAGGAGCAAGGGAGGTGGGGAAGGTATCCGCGAACTCCCATCCGCAGTGGGTGAGGGGCACCGCCAGGCAGCCTTGAGAGAGCCCTCAGCCCAGCGGCTCCTGAAGCAGAGGAAGCCCTTGGGCGCCGGAGTAGAACTCTGCCCTCGCACACACACGGGGCTCCGTCAAGCCCAGGGATGTGGTTCCAGGTGGCCCGCTCCTACCGCCCGCCCCACACTCACCCCTCCAGACTGCTTAGGTCCCCTCGGCATTGTACCCATTCCCCAGATGAGCAGAGGCCCAGGGAGGTGGGTGCCCTGCGTGATCATGACCCCCATTTATTGACTGTCTGCTCCATGCCAGGTACCATGTGGGCATTGTACGGAGATCATTTTCCCTAATGCACATGGGCTCGCCACGTGGGAGGTCCTGCTCTCCTCACTTAACAGGTGAAGACAAGATTCAGAGGGGTTGAACAGCTTTCTAAGGTCACACAGCACAGCACATGGTCTGGCCGCCACCCTCGCTGGCATCCACTCCCCCTATTCTTTCTCACACTCCTAAGAAGGAATGCTGGGGGGCTGCAGTGGGGTGCCCTGCCCCCTGCCATCACAAGGAAGGCTTCAGGTGGAAGCAGTTTATTCACAAGGCCCTCCTGGGATGCTCCAGGAAGGCAGGAGATCTCCAGGGCCAGTTCTGGCTAAGGAGCAGATTTCTACTGCTGGTCGCTTGGGGCGCAGACCACCCCCACCCCACCCTGCTCCCCACCAACCTGGGGCTCCCAGGGAAGCCTGGCTCCTCACAGTACCAGCACTGCCCCCAGGAGCTGGTTAGAGATGCACAACAGCAGGCCCAGCCCAGACCTCCCCTAACGAAGGGCATCTGCCTTTGAGCCGGCTCCCTGCTGACAGCACCTTCATAAAGCACCAGGTCGTCTCAGAGTGCCCTCACCAGCACCAGGGGGAGGAGCAAGGGAGGTGGGGAAGGTATCCGCGAACTCCCATCCGCAGTGGGTGAGGGGCACCGCCAGGCAGCCTTGAGAGAGCCCTCAGCCCAGCGGCTCCTGAAGCAGAGGAAGCCCTTGGGCGCCGGAGTAGAACTCTGCCCTCGCACACACACGGGGCTCCGTCAAGCCCAGGGATGTGGTTCCAGGTGGCCCGCTCCTACCGCCCGCCCCACACTCACCCCTCCAGACTGCTTAGGTCCCCTCGGCATTGTACCCATTCCCCAGATGAGCAGAGGCCCAGGGAGGTGGGTGCCCTGCGTGATCATGACCCCCATTTATTGACTGTCTGCTCCATGCCAGGTACCATGTGGGCATTGTACGGAGATCATTTTCCCTAATGCACATGGGCTCGCCACGTGGGAGGTCCTGCTCTCCTCACTTAACAGATGAAGACAAGATTCAGAGGGGTTGAACAGCTTTCTAAGGTCACACAGCACAGCACATGGTCTGGCCGCCACCCTCGCTGGCATCCACTCCCCCTATTCTTTCTCACACTCCTAAGAAGGAATGCTGGGGGGCTGCAGTGGGGTGCCCTGCCCCCTGCCATCACACCCCCCAACCTCGCCCCTTCCTCATGAGCAGACAGAGCTAGCTTGAAGGCAGAGCCTTAGGAGCAGTGGGCATTTCACGGGGTTTCTTGTGGCCCGGGGGACAAATGTCACCAAGAAGGGTCTCCCTCACTCAGCTGGGGTGCATGCTCCATGCTGGCTCTACCAGAAACGAGCCCTTCAGATTCAAGAGGCCCAGAGCCCAAGACTGGTGTGGGTGCCTTGGACCGCAAGGCCTTTCTGCAGGAGACCAAGGGGACTCACCTGGCCATGCGAGAAAGCCAAACCGGCTCCCCAGGGCTGCGAAGCCTCTGGCCGGCCCTCCACCTGCTTTCCAGCTCGCAGTCCTCTTGCTGTTGCCATGGGCACGAAAAGCCTGGGGTGAAGTGCCCACTAGCCACGGCAGGTTACCGAGTGGGCTGGAGGCCTCCGAGCAGTACCTAGGAGATGGGGGGTGGGCTCCCCTGGCCTGCAGACTGAGCTAGCTCTCAGGGCGAGCACCCAGCCCTGAGACCCAGCGTCCCCTGGGTCCCGGAGGGAAAGGACTGGGGCAAAGGGTCCACATCACCTCCAGGGGGATATAAAGGGCACTGAGCATCCAGGGAGAAAGGGACAATCAACAAGAAATACCGCTGAGTGGCAGCTTCGTGTGGATGGTAAGAATGTGGGGTCTGGGTTCAAGTTCTCACTCTCTGATGACCGTGGGCTCTAAGTTTCTCAGGACCCCCATCTGTATACTGGGGGTAACCACAGCGTCTACACCAGGAGACTAGACGGTTATTCCCAGCCCGTCACTCCCTCCCTTTATCGACGTGTCTGTCCCTTCCTGTGCCATGTGACTGCCCAGCTCAGCCATGTGGGGTCTGTCTGTGTGGCTTGCTTGCTCCATGCATGGAAGCTGAGGATGCTCCTGCAGGGCCCGGCTTGTGCTCTGAGTGCCTGCAGTGAGAACGCATTCTGGGCGCTACTGGCCACAGAATGAGGAGGGCCAGTCGAGGGGCCAAGACCACCCGAAAGCCAGTCACCAGCCAGACCAGCCCCTCCGTGATAAGCGATTCTCTTAAACCCACCTCCGTACTGGGTGTGCTCCATCTCCTCTGCCCGCCCAAGGAGCAGAGTCCACAGCTTGTTACACGGGATCTTTATTTACAATGCAAAAAAGAACTTACAAGTCACTTTCTGGACAGTTTCGATGCCTTTAAGACAACTTTTAAAAAACGTAGCCAGTCCTGTGCAAGAAGTCCTTTGTGTGTGCACCTCCAGGGCGCCTGTCTGCATGGCCCCGCGCACGGGGGCTCCAGCTGGCCAGAAGGGAGCCTCTCCTGGACGGCACCCGTCACCAGGCCGGGGGGCGGCGAGAACGTGGAGGCGTCGGAGGGCCGGTCCACCCCACGGGGCCTCGGAAGTGGTGCTCTGGAACCGGGCGGGGCTGATGGCTCGCTCCTCTCCCCACGCCTCTGGTCCAGTGCTGGAACCGCCGCGTCCTCCCAGCCAGTGTCCTCAGCAGAGCATCCCAGGGCTCCGGACACGCGGAGAGGGGGATGGCCAAAGCGGGAGTCGGGGCAGGCGAACCCCTGACCTGCGCCGCCACCTCAGGCCTCAGGGTCAATTTCTCCATCCTCCAGGCACGACCCTGACTCGTCCAGCCAGACTAGGAGACAGAAGGGGGAGTCCACATCCAGATGAGCCCCCCCACACACCAGGCCCTTTCCCCAGGAGCTCCAGGGCCGGTGCCTCAGGGCACATTGCTTCATCATATCCCCCCAAGCTCTGCACACACAGGCCGGTGGTGTCAGCCAATTCGGAGAGAGAACTCCAGTGACGCAGGTCTCACAGGCTCTCCCCGTCTCCTCTGGCCACCCCAAGCCCCGAGCTCCCCTAGACCTCAGGCTGAGGCCCCTGGGATTGCACCCCCACACACACACCCCCCATGGCTCAGCCACTTCTGAGCACCGGCCTGGAGATGCCTGCATGCCCAAGACTTGGTGAGTCAACACACACACCCTCCAGTTCCAGGTGGGAAACTGAGGCCCCGAGAGGGGATGTGCGCCCCAGTTAGCAGGGTGGACAGGGCAGGGCGGGGTTCTCGCCCATCCTTCGCTGTGGGGTATCTGGCAGCGCTGGGAGCCCGCAGCCCCGCTGGAAGTGCCGCCCAGGCCTGCCAGGCTGTCCCCCTGCCCTAAACGTCATTGGTGAGGAGAACGGCCACACGGGCACCGTGCAGGCTGTGGGCTCGGGCCCCTGGCCTTCCTCGTCACCAGCTCTCAGGGCCTCCGAGGCACGACCACGCTCTGTGACACGGGGGCCTGAGGCCTCGTTCCCACGTCAGGGTTTTGTGACTCCAAGGGCTCCACCCTTCCTCCTGCAGCTCCCTCTCTAAATGGGGAAAGGCAGAGGTCAGGCCTCACCTCTGACCCCAGACAGGACGCTTGGGGCCCCCGGTGCAATGCCTCTGCACTGGGACCCCATGGGCGCTCAGGGCTCCGGGCCTGCACCCCACAGACCTTGAGGAGGAACCGTGAGTTTCCCCTGTGCTCACACCAGCCCTGGGAGGCAGGGAAGGCGGTCACCATCCCATCTTACAGATGAGGCCACTGAGGCTCAGAGAGGGAAGTGGGTGTCATGGCAGGGCCTGGGCCTCAGTCACCCACGGCAAGCTCTCTGATTAGACACAGAGGCAGAAACCCAGCTCTTCTCTCACTTTACTGTGTGCCCTTGGGGAGTCACTGTCCCTCTCTGGGCCTCAGTTTTCCCAACTATAAATTAGAGATAAGGGTGGTATTCACAGCCCAGAGGGTTGGAGAATTCAGTTAAGATTTGTGAAAAGCATTTAGCCCAGTGCCGAGCACCTGAGAAGGTGGCCATCATTACTGCGCCTGACCCAGTCCTACTACCAGCGCGCGGGCTGGCCCCAGCAGGATGGGCTCTCCAGGTCACTCCCCCTGGTGGGCAAGCGCACACCCAGACTGAGAACTTCTGGAGAAGTCTACCTGAGTCCCCCACAACTCTCTCATGAGCTCCTCCTCAGCCTTTGTGCCTGTGTCCCCTGGGCGAGCCAGGCGCTCGCTGTGGCCCAAGACGGTAGCCCCTGAGAAGGCGTCAAGTCGGGGCGTGCAGAGCACAAGCTCCAGATCTCACGGCCTGGGTCTGAGCCCCAACTCTGACATATCAGCTGTATGGCGAGTGTGTCAACCTCTCAGAACCTCAGTTTACCCACCTGTAGAATGGGGATGATGAAAACTGGACCTAACTTAGAGTTACTATGAGGCCTCAAGGAAAAACCACCACCATCATCACTTATGATGACTGTTCACAAAAGCAGCCTCTGCACCAAGCAACAGGTCTGACTCAATAAACCTGTTCATGAATAAATGACCTCCCCCCACCAGCTCCAGTGGTATTCACAGAGGTATGGGTGTTGCGGGGCGGGGGACAGTAGTTTGCACCCCTTCCTCTCACCGTCTCTCTGGGAACCACCCCATCCCCTCTCTGCTCCTTGCAGTGAGCTATGTCTGGAAGGCCCAGAGATCAGCCCCAGCCTGGGTGGGAGGGGGAAGTTTCCAACCCTGTCTTGTCCACTGAACCGCAAGACGGAGCCCCAGTTTCTCAGCCACGGGGGAAGGCACCTCTGTCTACCACCTTGGCAGGCCCACGCGGCCCCATCCATGACTCACCCCGCTGCCGGCAGGGGCTATGGAGCTAATTATGTCAAACACCACAACTTACTGAGGCTGGTGCCAGGGACACGGGCCCATGGTGGAGAGTGTGCAGACCCAAGTGTAAGGTTTTAATAAAGCGCAGGAGTAGACCACCCACCCCGCCAGCCCAGAAGGACACCCCCCAGGCCCCCCGAGCCTGACAGCAGTGGCCTCACCTGCCCTCCGGGGGTCCCTGGGCAGGGCCACGCCCGTGGGGGTCGGCGGCGTGATAATGATGTTGGGGACGTCCAGGTGCTTGTCACTCAGCACGGGGGCCTCGTCGTGGCTGCCGCTGCTGCTGACACACATTTTTAAGCCTGAGAGGGCAGGCCATGGGACACACACATACACACACGACAGAGAGACAGGGGTCAGTGGCCGCTGGGGACTGCCCGCCACCCTTCTCCGTCGCCATGGGTCCCCGTGACGCAGGACCCAGGGGACCGCTCTGCGTGCCCACGTCAGGACCCGTCCGAGCTGGCGCCACTTGGCCAGGGTATGAGTTTTCTCTGCTTTGGTCACTCATGTTAACGTTGGGGGATGTAGCACGCAGTAGGTACTCAAGACACAACTCCGAGTGGGGGAAAGTCACAGGCTTGGCTTGCCTGCAGGAGGCAGCGCTGCGCATGAAGTTACGTCCCCCACAGATTACCTTCTAAGAGAGTCAGTGCTGTTTCTTCCTTAAGCGTTGGGCTGAATTCACTGGAGAAACTGCCTGGGCCTGGAACTGTCTTTGTGCAAAAACTTTTGATTACAAATTGGGGTTCTTTCGTAAGAGGTGGCGCTATTCAGATTTTGTTTCCTTTTGTCCTTTTGGGTAAGTTACATTTATCAAGGCATCTCTTTCTTCTAAATTGTTGCAATCCTTGTCTTCTTTCTCCCATAAACTCAGGCAATCCGGCCCAGTCTTCATGTCCAGCTGACATGAAAGTGCTCTTGCCAGATCCCAACCTCATTCTTCCTGTCTTGAGTCAAGGCCATCAACCCTGTGCCAATAACCAGGGCCTCAGCAGCAGTCCCCCTTACCCCCATCTCCTCGCCCTCCAACCCTCCGGCCAATTTAACCAACCACAGACACATCACTTTGCCAACAAAGTCTGTCTAGCCAAAGCTACGGTTTCTCCAGTAGTCCTGTATGGATGTGAGTTGGACCATAAAGAAGGCCGAGTGCCAAAGAATTGATGCTTTTGTGGTGTTGGAGAAGATTCTTGAGAGTCCCTTGGACTGCAAGAAGATCAAACCAGTCAAGTCTAAAAGAAATCAACCCTGAATATTCATTGGAAGGATTGATGCTGAAGCTGAAGCTCCAATATTTTGGCCATCTGATGCATAGGGCCAACTCATTGGAAAAGACTCTGATGCTGGAAGAGATTGAAGGCAAAGGATAAGAGGGCGACAGAGAATGAGATGGTTGGATGGCATCACCGACTCAATAGGCAAGAGTTTGAGCAAACTCTGGGAGACAGTGAAGGATAGGGAAGCCTGACGTGCTGCAGTCCATGGCTGCAAAGAGTTGGACACGACTGAGTGACTGAACAACAAAAAGAGTCCATAGATCCACTCGCCTCACATCTCTGACAGTCTTCCTCCCCCTCCTCATGCTCCTAGCGAGCCTCTCCGCCTTCTGCTGATCCCTTATCAGCCCACCCTCCAAACAGCAGCCAGAAACTGCAAAGCTGATCACACCGGAACACTCACTAGCTCTCAGCAACTAGCTACAAATAGCATTTCCCAAAGGGTGTTCCCTGGAACACTGCCTCCACAGACTCCCTCAGGAGGGAGGGCCCACAATCCAGTGAGTCTGGGGATCCCATCTACTCTATCCTTCTCGTGGAGACCCCATGCCTGTTGGAGCAGTAAAGGCTCTGAGAAGTCCTGCACTAAGGAAGCTGCTGTCACTGTGCTTCACCCCAGGGCTTCTGAACTTAAATAACCCTGGATTCTGTTTTTGGAGGGACACCTGTTAACATCTCACAAAACCATGAGTCATGAAATACCTTCTGGGAAAGACGGATCGTAAGTTAAAGTCAGCCTCCACAGTCTGACCCAAGCTTGTTCTGAAGCCTGCCACCTGGACTTCCTTGGTAGCTCAGCTCATAAAGATTCCGCCTGCAATGTGGGAGACCTGGGTTCGATCCCTGGATTGGGGAGATCCCCTGGAGAAGGGAATGGCTACCCACTCCAGTATTCTGGCCTAGAGAATTCCATGGACTGTATAGTCCAGTTCACTTCAGTTGCTCAGTCATGTCTGACTCTTTCTGCAGACCCCATGGACTGCAGCACACCAGGCTTCCCTGTCCATCACCAACTCCCGGAGCTTACTCAAACTCATGTCCATCGAGTCAGTGATGCCATCCAACCATCTCATCCCTCTATCGTTCCCTTCTCTTCCCGCCTTCACTCCTTCCCAGCATCAGGGTCTTTTCCAATGAGTCAGTTCTTCATATCAGGGGGCCAAAGTATTGGAGTTTCAGCTTCCGCATCAGTCCTTCCAATGAATATTCAGGACTGATTTCCTTTAGGATGGACTGGTTGGATCTCCTTGCAGTCCAAGGGACTCCCAAGAGTCTTAGCCAACACCACAGTTCAAAAGCATCAATTCTTCAGCGCTCAGCTTTCTTTATAGTCCAACTCTCACATCCATACATGACTACTGGAAAAACCATAGCTTTGACTAGATGGACCTTTGTTGGCAAAGTAATGTCTCTGTTTTTTAATATGCTGTCTAGGTTGGTCATAGCTGTAGAGTCCACGGCGTCGCAAAGAGTTGGACATGACTAAGCGACTTTCACTTTCACTTTCCCTGCCACCTGCCCACACTCCTTGAACTGCTCACAGTTCCCCAAACCCTGGGCTCCCCAGCCCTTCTGCGCCTTCACGCAGGCTGTTCCTGCTGCCTGGAGTCCTCTCTGTTGCTTTGGCAGAGTGGTGAGCTCCTGCTGATCCTTCAAACCCCAGCTTAACAGGCTCTTCCATGGGGAAGCTGTCCCAGGTATCTGACCCCCGCTCCTTCAGTCCTTTGGTGCCAATCTCGAAATGATCAGCCCTGTCTGCCTTTACCGTGAGCGTGTGAAGGACAGCCCCTACTTGCTGACCAGTGCTTCCTTAGAACCTAGCATCCGCCCTGGGACAGAGCACATAAGGGTGCTTTCAATTTTAAATCAAAAACAACTTCAGGCACCGCTGAACCCAGTATTCAAATCTTTGTCTCCATGCCCTGCCCCACACCGGACTGCATTAGCTCAGGTATCCGAGCCCCCAGCCAACAGCAGGAGCTGAGCAGTGGGGTGGGCTTCCCTGACCCCCACCGGGACCGTGCTCCTTAATCACCCCTGTCCAGTCAGCGTGGCAGTTCTCAATGACGTCCCTGACAGGTGGAGTCTGATTCCCCTCCTCTCCAGTAAGGAGTGGACCCTAGGGTGGATTCCAACGCAGAAACGAAGACAGAAGGGATGGTGTGTGATTTCCATGGCAAGGTCATGCAGGACACCGCTCTTGCCTGCTCTCACTCTGGGGGAGCCAGATGCCACGTGTGAGGATGCTCAAACGGCCTGAGGGGGAGCCCAGCTGCAGGGCCAACGGCACGGGAGGAAGCCACCTAGGACTGGGGTCCTCCAGCCCAGGCAAGACTTCAGATGAGACCAAGGCTCAGCCTACAGCTTGACCATAACCTCTGAGAACCTCTGTGACACGACCTCTCAGCTAAACTGTCCCCAAATCTCCGACCCACAGAAACTGTGAGATAATAAATCCTTAAGTCACTAGGTTTGGGGGTCATTTGTCATGCAGCAGTAGATAACTGATACAGGAGTCAGCACAAGTTGCCTATCCTTGAAACTCCAATCCTGTTTCCTTCCTGGGGAGTCCCTGTGGGGCCCCCCAAATCTACCAGGCTGGTTAGTTTTGTAGAAAGGGGCCACATCCCCTCCATCAGATGATGAACCCCTAAGGAGCACCCACCAAGGCTGCTGCCAACCTTCTTTAAAACTTTAGAGCTGTTTCTTCCTGCCATCTTATGCAGAAGCCCAGAATGTAAAACAGATACGAAGAAGCCACTTAGAGGAAGCCCTCCTGTTATCACTGCAGCAGTTGGCATTTAGGGATCATCTGCCACATGCCAGACACTTCCTCCTACAGTCCTCAAGGCCACACTGGGAGGGGTGAGCTCGGATGTGAGACTGAGGACCACAGATGGTAAGAGCTTGCACAGTGATGAACAGCTAGTGGGTGGCAGGGGCAGGATCTGAACCCAGACCTGAGTCAGTCTGATTCCAAAAGCTGCTGCTCCTTGTAACTATGATCTTGTAACAGAGCCAGGAAAACTATCTGAAAAGGACCTGACGGTAAATATGCTTTACTTTGGGGGCGACAAAGTCTCTGTTGCCACTTCTCAGGTTTGCCATTGAATACAAGTGCAGCCTCAGACAATATGTAAATGAGTGGGTGGGCTGTGTGCCAAAACACTTTTATTTAGAAAAACACGAAGGGCAGTCAGCTTTGGTCCAAGGGCTGTGGTTTGCCTCTGTCAGCTCTGTGATATCCAGGAATTGGGAAGTTTGGATCAGGGACATGCCTGACATCCTAACAGGCAACAACAGAACCTCAAAAGCCTGAGGCTCATTAATGCCAAAACCCAAACCCAAATCCCAAATCTGGCTGCTGCTGGGAAGTGACAGGTGGTGGGCGTGAGAAAATGAACAGAATGAATGAATTCCTCGGAAGCCCTTGCCCAGTTAGCCGGGGCCAAGGGGGTGCTGGTCCCTGCTAGCTTCCTCCAGAATCATCCCCAAAGGGTGTCTCAGGGAGCATGGCCACAGAATCAGCTCTGATTACTGCTGTCTATAACTGAAGGCAGCCTCCCTGCTCAGTCTCCAAGGCCCCTTCCTCAGTGAGTATTCCAAAGTTCTAAAAGAAAATGCTAATGGAGGAAACCCACACTCCTCACAGGGCCCACATCTGCATTTGAACATGTTCTGGGAGCATGGTGACAAAGCCCACATTCTTAATCAGGAAGCGGGTCACTCTTGGTAGGCCCCGGAGAGATGCTGGAGGCAGAGAGGAGGGAGGGGAGGAGGGGGAGGGAGGGAGAAGAAGAAAGGCAAACTAGATGAGAGTGGAGTGAGGATGGAGGAGAGGAGGAGGGTGGTAGGAGAGAGAGAGGAGGAGGGAGGAGGGAGGGAAAAGTGAGAGGAGGGAGGGGGCGGTGGGAGAGGAGGGCAAGGAAGGAGGGGGCCAGGACCCCAGCCCCTCTCAGCCCTCTGGGCCGCCCAGAGCATGAGTGGCTGAGCTCTCGGGAGCAGCTCTGGGGAGATAAAGCCGACTTTGGGGATTAAACACAAATGCCAGCCCTGCCCCAGACAAGCAGCTCATTTGTGCTAAAGCCAGAATGGTTATTTGTTAATTATGTGCCCGTCTCGGGTCATTAAGAGCCCATTTCCTGAGGGGAAGGGCCTGGCTGGGATTCCAGGGGGCCAGGCCCCCGGAGGGAAGGGGCAGAGGGAATCCCAGGGCCCCAGAGCCATCCGATATTTCGACTTGGGGGTGTGACAGGGAGCACGTGCAGGAAGCCTTCCTGGCTGGTGGCTGTCACACACCTTGACCCGGCCCTGCTCTGGGGCACACGCCTTCCCAGGATGCAAGACAAGCTGGACACGGAGCAAGCCAGGTCAGACCTCCCTGGCCTGGCGGCAGCTGCCTACCTCCCACAGAAGAAATGCAGGGGCTTTGTGCGTGAGCTCTAAAACCTGGTTCCACTCCTGGGCAGCGGTTTTCCATCTTGGCTTCCTAAGCCACCTGGGTAGTTTAACAATTAATCCAAGTCGGGAGGACCACCAGAACTTTAAAAAGCTCCTGTGTGAATCTGACAGCTGGGCAGGGACCCCCGGTGCCAGGGTGCCTGGGAACACACGGTTTTACTCTCCAAGTCTAGAATCCAGGGCTGGAAAAATGGAACTATGCTACCCATCTTGTAGGTACAGAAGGCTGA